TTATGTTTAAAGGGTACGACTTGGAAATGTTCCAATGTCCAAACAGGTGATGCCCTCGTTTGCAGGGTGACGAGTCATGACAATACCTAGACAGCAGCCACACGTAACTCTCTGAATTACAGTTTCTTTTTTTACACAATTCTATTGCTGATTGTGCCATTTTCCTCTGCTTAATTACTATATGTAGGCTGCTTCATCAATATTTATTCTTTTGTTATTCTCTTTCAATGTTTTGCTACTAGTAGTCGGCTGCAAATATGTATCATCCATCTTATCTATTTGTAACTAATTAAATATATTCTATTACTTATTACAATAAAAATAAATAATAAATCTAATTTAATTAATGTATTAAATTTTATAGAAGTTTAGAGATATATTTATTATTATTTCAAAATTCATTAGAATATAATAAGAGATGTGTATTGAATTAAGATTTTAAAATATTATTTTGAGATAAAATAAAAGTTTTATAAATTTTAAAATATTATATAAAAATATAATGATTTATAAAAAAAGAAAAGAAAAAGAAAATGCCTTTAAAATAAAATAATTTAATTCTTAAAATGATATTTTTATGGATTGATTGAATATTCACTCATAAAAAATTGTTAATTGATAGATTTGATAATTTTTTTTTTATTTGAATGGATTGGTTGAATTAGATTTTTAAGTGAATTTTTAATAAACTTAAATACATTAATGAAACACGGGAGTTGATATGGTATTCATAGGTTTAATTTTTATATGTGTTAAAGTAATATTTGGTCATCAGAAATCACATCCCACAAATGTATATTAGTCCTTAATTGTCAATTTTGAAACATTGTATAATCCATTAAAAAATATATTAATAAATTATTTTTATCTGATCAATCATGATTTATCTGAAAAATTATTCAATTCATCTTATATTTTCACACTTAATTATTTCTTTAACTATTTGTATATATGACAATAATTTATGTTATGTTGTCTTCACATCCATGTTGCTTTCCGTAAAAAATAATTAAGGTTCTCTTATCATTTTCCACTTCTTTTTAATTATTGTGTTAGGAGAGGTAATATTTGTAAGTTGAATCGTTGGTACCTTCCAACTTCCTTTATTATCAAAGGAAGAAAGATGTTTCGTAGAATAAAAAAATATAACGACTTTAAGAAAAATATAAACTCAAATAATTTTATATCTTCAATCATGATTTTATGTTCCAATCCTTAATAATCGTTTGTGCTACTTAAATAGTTTTTAACATGCCCTTTGTATAATTAAATAAAATTATGTTGATCTCACTAAAAATAAGGAGCAGGCCATAGCTTTTGTTGGAGACCAAAATTCAAACCAATAATTCAATCCTAGCAAAAGTATAGAAATAAAGCAATAAAACAGTTTTATTGTGCAAGACAAAAAAAAAGTCATTACATAGTTTTATTAAGAGTTACTGCAACTAGAAAATAAACATGTCCATTCTAATGGAATAAATATTTTATTCATGTCAAGCTAGACAATTTGTCCATCCTAAGATAGAAGGTTTACAGCAACAATATTAACAATAAAGTATGATTTAAGGGATAAAGTTTATCAGTAACATTATTTTGGATTGTCTCGTTATGACCTTCTTTACATCCTCAATGGTACTCTTTTTCACTACAAAAAAATCAAGTTTTAGCGACCACCAAAATCGGTCGCTATTTAGATAAATTCAGTCGCTGTTACATTCAGCGACCGAAATAGCGACGAAAAAATCCGTCGCAATTTAGCGACCGAAAAATCCGTCGCTAGACATTAAAAATCCGTCGCTAAAATTTTGGTCTCCTAACTTCTGGAGACCAATTTTGCGACCGAATTTTTGGTTGCAATTTCCGTCTCTATTTTTTTTATTTATTTAATAAAAATAATTTAAAAATCAGTCTCTAAATCGGTGGCTAAAACCTGAAATAATAGCTACGAATAAATTCGGTCGCTATTTCGGTCGCTAAACATCACACAAGTCTTTAACGCCTTGTCAAGTAGCATCCATAATTAGGCATGGTAAAAAACACTTTAAAATTGTTTAGCAAAGAAAAACACCAAAGCCTGTGTCAGTTTAAAAAGTTTGGAAACTTTTGTAGACAACCATTTTGCTGAAAAAGCAACACAAGTAGTAGTAACACCGAGAAATCAACGGGAAACATGTCGGTTAACCAGTCTCGAAAGAATCAAACAGAGATATGGTCATTGCTGCACACTAAAACCAGAAAAATTAATTTTAAATTCACTTGCAACATATATTTTTATCAAATATCTTATTTACTGTATAATAAGTTTTATATATATATATATATATATATATATATATATATATATTTATCAAACATATTTTTTCATTTAAATCTTATTTTATAAAACATTGACAAGATGTAACAACACCACAAAGAATGAAGCACCTCATGAC